CCCAGAATACAGTCTATCTTGATAAATGTTCCATATGCACTTAAAAAGAATGTGTATTCTGGTGTTGGGTGTTCTGCAACTGTCATTTAGGGCAAGTTGATTAATAGTATTCTTCAAGATTTCCATAACATGAAAGTAAAATGTTAGTCATTCAGTTGTGTCCGACTCTTTGTNGAAGGAAACAATTGATGTGCCCTTGAGAGCAAATCTAGGGCCTATGTTTTGAATTGCTGATGTAAAAGTAAATGATTCTCATCTGAAGATTCTATATCCATCATGAATGGAGTTTGTGTCATCATCATCACTATAAACAGCATCAAGATTATTGGCTTCATAATTACCTTTAATCAGTGTGATCCACCAGCCAACTGAGTCAGAACCAAGACCCTCTCCCAAGCTGACCAATCATAGGCCACTTTGTACAGTATTTGATGCCCAGAGATGCTAATTAATCCTGAGCACATCTGACTTATGATTTTAGCTCTCAAAACAAAACTATTAAGAGGAACATACAGAACAGGCATAAAAATACAGTATTTTAATCAGATGCAGAGAAAAGATAGCCTTTTTTGAGCCAAAACCCAGCAATTTCTACCTCTTATTGAATGAGTGTTTTGTTTCAGGCACTTGACTTAATTCTTTGAGGCTTTATAACAACACCTATGAAGAAAATGTCTCACATTTAAAGAGATATTAAATCACATAACTAGTGAGTGGCAGAGACAGGATTCCAACCTAAATCTGTCAAATTCCAAGTGTTATGCTCTTAATTACTGGACTCAACAACTTGGCTGTAGATTTTATGTTCGTTTTTAGGAAGAAGTCAAAAAACACATTTCTTTAAGAGTCCTACTCTGACTTTGCCCTGAATTCTTCTGTGTGGATCAGACTTAGGGAATGAATATGAGAAAGAAGTCTGGGCTAATAACTGCTCCTCTTGTAGCAAAGGTCTCAAGCCCCATTCTGCATGAGTATATCTGCCTCTCTAGCCATATTCATCTCAGAAATGAGTGGGATGTCATCTTTGAACATCTCAAAAAGCTAAATATTGGTCTCCCTATGCCAGGGGTCCTGGACCCTCAGGGAATAGATTCTGCTCCAAGTGTCTTTGACCTGAACAATACTAGGAGCAGGAGGTGGGGTAATTGGGTTAGAGAACATCAGGTCAATCCTGAGACTTTAGTCTACCCATAATAATTACATGAAATACTTTATCTGCATTTTACAATTATCTTGCTGTTATCTTGCTATTAATACAGTATCCATAAATCAAGTTACCAGTCCCCAAGAAGAAAACCTCCCACTGAAGAAAAAGTAAGACATTGCAGACGTGCTTTTCCACAGATCCCACTTTATTATCCTTCCTCTAAGAGTCCAAATGCTCAGAAGTGATTTAAACTAGATAATTCCAGAAGACTAAAACTCTGATGCATCATTAGTGCCTAGAGGTAAGAAATTAGCACACAAATGGAGTGACTACTGCACAAAATAAACATAATTAATTTTAAAGGGAAAACAAACAAACTTACCAGAGATAATGGAAACAATCAATAAAACTAATTAATCCAAAATTAATAAAACCTAAGCCTGATAGCTGTAACTCATAAAGGTGCTATATTTATTTTTCCATAGTCTGATTCAAAGATGTCACCCATTAGTAGATGCAAACTACTATATATAGGATGGATAAAGAATAAGGTCATACTATATAGCACAGGAAACTATATTCCATATCCTGTGATAAATCATAATGGAAAAGAATATGAAAAAGAATACAAATATGTATAACTGAATCATTTTGCTGTACAGAAGAAATTAACACTACACTGAAAATCAACTACACTTCCATAAAAATTTTTTAAAGTATACAAAGATGTCATCCTAGGCAGTCCAAGATATTTTTTGTCAATTTTCTCCTCATCCATAAGGCATGCAAAATCAGCCTTATTTTGGCACTGTATAGCAAGTCTGCCCCTTGTTAAAATTCAATGGTTTGGGGATGAATAAATGTATATACATATCTATATATTTGTGTAATTGTGTGCACATAGTGTATCCTGGGCAATCCAAAAGTGCACATCCTCAGTACGCTTTCAAACAGGAGAGTGCCAAGATTGTTGAAAGGACATGATGGAAAACCTCAGGCTCATAAATAATCCCAAACTAATATACCTTCATAGAAGAGACCATGCTTAGCACTGGCCTTTGCATATTATAACACTTCAATAATGTATATGAAATGTGTGTGGGAATATGTGTAGAGAGGAGTGAATGTGTATGAGTGTGTGTACCATGATATATAAATCTTTAACTAATGCCAATTTTTTTCTGATTTAAAGATTCTTGCTCCTCAGAAGAAAAGCTATGGCAAACCTAGACAGCATGTTAAAAAGCAAAGACATCACTTTGCCAACAAAGGTCCATATAGTCGAAGCTATGGTTTTTTCAGTAGTCATGTATGGATTGTGAGAGCTGGACCATAAAGAAGGCTCAATGCTGAAGAATTATTTTTATTTTTTAATTGAAGGATAATTTATTTGCATAATTCTGTGGTTTTCTGTCATACATTAATAAGAATCAGCCATAGGTACAACCATGTCCCACTCCTCCCTCCCAAACCTCCCGCCCATCTCCCTCCCCATCCAACCCTTCTAATTGTCACAGAGCCCCTGTTTGAGTCTTCTGAGTTACACAGCAAATTCCCACTGGCTATATATTTTACATACGGTATTGTAAATTTCCATGTTACTCTCTGCTTATATCTCAAGGAACTGATGCTTTCAAGCTGTGGTGCTGGAGAAGACTCTTGAGAGTCCCTTGGATAGCAAGAAGATCAAACCAGTCAATCCTAGAGGAAATCAACCCTGAACACTCATTGGAAGGACTGAGGCTGAAGCTCCAATACTTTGGCAACCTGATGTAAAGAGTCAACTCATTGGAAAAGACCCTGATGCTGGGAAAGATTGAAGGCAGGAGGAGAAGGGACTGACAGAGGATAAGATGGTTGGATGGTATCATTGACTCAATGGACATGAGTTTGAGCAAACTCTGGGAGATGGTGAAAGACAGGGAAGCCTGGCGTGCTACAGTCCGTGGGGTCACATAGAGTCAGACACAACTGAGCAAATGAATAACAACAGTCTTTTCTGATGCCAAGTTCCAGGCCAATATGCAGTCCTAACCTAGCTTCATTATACTATTTCATACAATCTTGGACTGCCTCATCACTGGAAGCGCATCACACAAAGAAAATGGTCATAGGAGCACAACAAGTCCTCAAAAATATGCTTGCTGAAGTAACAGGAATTGCTGAGAACCACTGTACTGAAGAAATTAGTTTGGTTACTTTAAATTCATACTTAAAAATGGACTCTTCCTCCTTTTAAAAAATCTTATGATTTATTCTCTTTGTAATGAAATTTGGTTCCAAATGCTTATAAATGATTCAAAAAATCAAATTCATGCTTAAACAGCCAATATTTTCACCTACCAAGTGATATTTAAAAGGATGTGATGCTCTGACTGCTTTGAAGGAAGAGCTCTTGTTAAAATTTTGAGCATATATGTGTATATATGAGCATATATGTATATGTGTATATATATATACACATATACAGCCTTTCAGGGAAATTTTGTTGTAGAGATTATATGTGTTTTAAGGGAAAAAATCCCCTGCCTTACTTAATAATCATATGTTGCAAATTGTCAAAATACAAATTCTAGATGATCTAGAGAATCCTAAACTCCAGTGCTAATCCAAGTCCCTTATCTAGTCAGTAAGTTTCCATATCCATTGGGCAGAAGCCTCAGCTTCATATTGTTATCACAGGTGATGGATATTGTGACTGCAAAAACCACTTGAGTTTCTGAGACTCAGCCTTCAGAAATGGCCCTGAGTAGATTTCAGCAAGCATCTGGAGGCCCCAGCTGGCACATCTCATGTCCATCTGCACAGAATGAGTCACTGAAGCCTCCCCTTATAGACTAAAAGCCTGGATGTGTCAGTAGGCATCTCTTTGTGAAACTCTGTTGCTCCAGTACATGAATCTTGAGATATCAACAGTGATGTAAGAAAACAAGAAATGGATCTAGGTGTGGGGACATTCTTATCTGGTGTGACTAATGTTTCCATCTTCACCACAGACTTCTCATAACAGAAAATATAAGCTCCTTTGAAGGCTAGATTCCAACAGTTCAACCCAATTGACCTCTCATTTCACCTAGGGAGAGAGATTACCAGGAGGAAACAGAGTTAAGAACCATCTCCAAGAAACATCACCCCAAAAAAATCTACTGATAACCCCCTACCACTCAGATTAAACCTGAACGTAAGAAGGAAAGAAAAGAAAAGAAATTAAATTCTTTTTTAAAAATTTATTTATGTGGTCAATATTACCCTAATATTATCTTGTCTCACATGTCTGACATTATTCTCATTTCACAGAAATGGAAAGAGACTCGGATTTAGAAATTTGCCCAAGGTATTACAGGTAGTAAATGTTGGAGCTGTAATATAAAAACAATCTGTCTTACTGCAAAGTCAGTATTCTTTCCTACTACATCATATTATGAGCCAAGAACAGTTCCCTAAATTGCTTTTATAGAAGAGAGACATATACTAGCTATCAGCATCCCTGGATCAACTCTGAGGTTATCAGTTCCAAGTCGAGTTTGTTCAGAAACCCCAAACTCCTAAGAGTCCCAGCACAGAGGAAATGTTTGGCTCTTAATGATAGGGACAGGATCATTTAAGCTCTAAGGCAAGTCCTTTACGGAATTCCCTTTGAACTGAACAGGACGCTAAAAGAGACTAATTTAACTTGGAGAAGGCCCACCTTGAATACAGTGAGATAGGAAACAAAATTCAGCTGATATTCAGTGGAAAAACCCAAAGCTAGGACTTTTACAGGTATAATGAAAGTTGTTTTTAATATTCTAAGGTGTTGCTTCCCTCTCAAGATAATCCTTTTGCCAACAGTGCACAACTTCACTAAATGGGCCTAAAATCAAAGAATCTGATGAGATGAGTGAATAGTGCAAGAAGAAGATCCAGACATGGAGAAATAGTAAGCTGGGTTGTGCCCTAACCCCTGACCCCAGGCCTCTGCTTCACAGGGCTAAACAATCTTTCAGAAGCCAGGCAGGAAATTTCTCTGCAGGTGTCATCAAATTGATCCCTACATCACCTTGTTTTCTTTCCAATTAGTGCTTAGGCCTCTGGTAGGATCATAACTATTCTCCAAACTTGCAGCTGAAATGATCTGACAGGTGTCCACTTATTCCCCTGACACTAAGAACACGTTGCAGTTATTATAGAGGGAAAAGTGAAGCATTGAGACGTGAAGAAACTTAAGAACACTAACTAAAACCCAGCTGCACAATCCTGTGAATATGCTAAAAGCCACTGAATTATATACTTTAAAAGGTTGAATTTTAATATGTTCATTACATCTCAATAAAATTGTTTTTAAAAAAGTCATGACATCTTCTGGAGCAATGCTTTTGACAAATAAGGAGTATTTCTGCCTTTAAAGGCCTACCGTTAGCTCCTGATTTATTTTTATCATACATTATTGAGTGCCTCCTATGTATAAAACACTGTGATAGTTGCTATAAAATATTTTAAAGCATCTTGCAATAATTTTACAGTTTACTAAGCATTTATTATATGCCAGGTAAGTACTAAACAATTTCACATGTTATCCTAAGTTATCTCCACAGTGAGGTACATATTATTGAAATTGGAAAACTGAGGCTCAGAGGATCAGGTAATTGCCCAAGAAGCACTACCTATAAGAGACAGAGCTGAAATTTAAACTCAGATGTTTCTGATTCCTAAGTCAATATTTTTACCTAGTGTGATCTGCAAGTCAGAAGAGGAAAAGAGGTCTGAACACAAAAAATACAAGCAAGAGTGGCAGAGTTCTGAGAGCGGGCAAACAATGGAACTAGAATCCTAAAGTTGCAGGGCAAGGATGACTTTAAAAATCTACTTCAGTGTGGAATCTGGGGGTCTGAAAGTCCTCCTGACACAACAGTCATCTCAATAAAAACAAGCACAATTCCAAAAGACACACACAATTGAAAATGACCATAATATCCATGGGACAACATCACTTTCCATGTGGTCATTTTGGTCAGGGAACCCCTGACTAGGTAAGCAATGGATATATATCAGCAGTATATCCATTAACATTTTGTGAGCAGAGATTCTAACTGCTAACTAAGTGCTAGGCATTGTCTAAGATGGTGAGGTAAATAAAATAAATGGCTTCCCTGAAGAAGCACCCAAATAGGAACTGACTGACCCCAAATATGTGGTATATGTGTGATTAAGAGGCAGGCTTTAGCATTGGACAGTATGGGTTTCTATGCTAGTGTTGCCACTTCCGAGGTGTGATTTTGGACAGATTATTAAATTTCTCTATGCTTTCATTTCCTTATTTGTAAAATGAGAATGACAATAATACTGACCTCACAGGATTATTGCAAACAATAAATATGTAAGCATGTAAAACTGCCATGTCAGGCAGTTCCCTCAGGTATTATATTTTATATACTTTATGTACAAAAATGACATTTTCCCAAGGGTCTAGGCCCAAAACTGCCAGACTACCAATGAATAGCAGAATGCTAGAAGAAAGCCCCCTCTAAATTCACCTTGAACACTTCTGAAAGAAACAACTTTTATGTATAGCCCACTAACATAATTTTATAACTTAGAAAAAAGCCTTCCAGAGAGTATGTTTCTTCTCTTCCTGGCTGATAATACTCCTTTTATGTACTTCCATATATTTCCTAAAACTGCATGCTTTTTTGTGTAATAGGTGTGTATAGTAGAGGTAAGCTAGTATAACAGTTAAAAGAAAGGGCATTATGATAAGATAGATACAGTTCAAACCCTAGTTCCTCCATTCATAAGCTGTTACCTTAGAGAGGGCTCTTATGACCTCTGAACCTGTTTCTTCATCTGTAAAATGGAATACAGTGCAAACTTTATAGAAATGCTGTAGAGATTCAATGAGATGATATGTGAAAAGAATTGAGCATAGTATCTAGTACATACTAAATTCTCAATAAATAGTAGCTATTATTATTGCAAAAAAGACATTAATTATGTCAGCCTGGTGGCCCAGGTTCATTTTCAATTAAATAAGCATCTATTACACGCTGCCAAGTAGCTTACATTTTGCCACTTTTGGTGGATAGTAAAGGGATTGAACGACATTTGTCCTCTAAAACATTATCTCTGCTTTTCACAAGTGTATGACCCTGAGAAAAGTGTTGTGCGACATGTTCTCATATTGGAGGGTGGGCCAGTACCGGCCTTTCTGCAATCATCACAGAGATGAGAATGCGAAGTAGGAAGATAAACACAGACAGAGGAGGAGATAGGATTGTTGAAAATGAATCAGTCCAACCCACAGAGGACAGCACCCACTTGCTAGCTATATAAGGGCCACTAGCTCAATCCTTTGTCACCCTGAAAGCTGCATCAGGCTTTATCCTACTTTCTCCTTTGGTGAACCAGGTGAGAGAAAACTCATCCAGCTACATCAGTGGATATTTGGTTGGCTATTGTTCGTGGTATAAATCCAGGGGTATGAGCTAAGACAGAGTTAATATATATTTGGTTTTCCTGCTTTCCCTCCTTTTCGTTTCTTTCCTTTTTCTTCTTTTTGTTTGCTTATTTGTTTGGTCAGTTTCATTTATTCCAGGGTCTTTTTAGAATAAATTTTTCTTTGTTATGGAAAATAATGCAAGTAGAAATTTGTTTCTTCTAGGCTGTTCCACATTCTCTTCCTAGTCATTTTTTGTGCCATATTTTCTGGGTTGTCCAGCTGAAATAGGAAAAAGACCAGCACTGTTACAGAAATCCATCCTTGTTCAGTGGCAAGATCTAATCATCCTCTAGTCAAACTGCAGTCTGCATTGCTCAATCTTTTCCCCTGATTACTAAAAGAAAACAGAGTTTGGTTAAGGCAGAGATTAGGATATCTCGTGAGCTTTGATGAGGGCTATCTCATGCTCCTGAAGCACCAGGATAGAGTTAGCCCACTTTGTCCATTCTTAATTTGCTAAATGCCTTAACAATCCAATTAGCTTCTGGTACCCAGAGGGGAGGCAGGTATGCATCTTGGATGGTCTGGTATGTTTGATTTAAAAGACAAACAAACAAAAACAGTGAAACTAGCCAGAGAGACTGGAGCAATATATCTTGGTGGTTCTAGAAATTTTGGAAGCCCCAAGACAACACCCAGAACACCAAAGTACACAAAGTGTAGAGATGCTGTGTAGAGAATATATTCATCCAGGACATGGAGATCTGAAATCTAGTCCCAGATCAGTCAATAACATGCCATGTATGGCTCAATCTTAGCAAAGTAACTCAAAGTTAACAAGATTAGCTTTCACTGTGTTTATGTGTATTGTATCACCCCTGACCTAGTCTTACTTGTTGAGGTATTTTGGTTTAAAGAGACAAGATATTTGAAAAACTGGGATGATTGCTATTAAAATCAGAACTGTTTATAACTTAAAATAAAATGAATGAGAGGATCTTTTTTTCTCCCCTCAGGTTCATTTAAACCTGCAAAAAGATGACCAATCTCTTGAGAAGCGTTGTCACCGTAATTGATACTTTCTACAAATACACCAAGCAGGATGGGGAGTGTGCCACACTGAGCAAGGATGAACTAAAGGAACTTCTGGAGAAAGAGTTTCGTCCGATTCTGAAGGTGAGGACCGTGTACCAGGACTGAAAACTACTAGCATCCTGTACATTCTCTGTTTTATGACCAAGGAATAGCTAAAAAGTGCACAATCCCCATGGTCTTTGAGCTCACACTATGAGTGGTACTTTTGGGGGACATCAGAAAGGCTGTTGAGGCAGCATTTATTTTTAAAGAGGTGATCATTTTCTTCCTCCCACCATACAGACTGTCAGACATTTTCATGTCCCCAGGTTTTTCCTTCTAAAAAAGCATATGATAAATTTGCGCTATCAATTTATAAATTACCCCAGCAAATGAGGAAGAAAAGATATAGAGAGGGAAAACATGTATTAGGGGTATTGATCAAGTAACCAAGGTGACTAAAAACTGAAAACAAAATACAAGAATTTTTTTTCCTATTTACTTGGAAAGGACTCAGTTATTAACTTCAAAATTATAGATCATAACATAGAATATATTAGCAGGCAAGGCTTAAAATGTATGTGAAACACACCAGGTACTGAATTTGGTTTATTCGACTCCCCCTTATTTGCCACACCTGAGTATCTACTTCTCTAGCTTAGGTCCTTGAACTGTATGTGCTGAGGATCCCAATGGCCTTTATTCTTTTTTATTACCTCTTCACACTTGCTAGGTGTTGTTAGGCTGTTTTAGTCTAAAGTATTTCTTGATTGGATTAAAATACCTAACATCAAACATTCCCTCAGTCATGCCTGACTCTTTGCAATCCCATGGATTATACAGCAGATGGAATTCTCCAGGCCAGAATCCTGGAGTGGGTAGCCTTTCCCTTCTCCAGGAGATCTTCCCACCCCAGGGATTGAACCCAGGTCTCCACATTGTGGGCAGATTCTTTACCAGCTGAGCCACAAGGGAAGCCTCCCACAATTCTACAGCTTTACCCAAATATTTTAGCTGAGTATATGGACTAGGCTGACCAGGTCTTCTTTGGTGTATTGCCTGTACACAGAACCCAGATGATCCAGACACAGTGGATGTCATCATGCATATGCTGGATCGAGATCATGACCGAAGACTGGACTTTACTGAGTTTCTTCTGATGATATTCAAACTGGCTATGGCCTGCAACAAGGTTCTCAGCAAAAAATACTGCAAAGCTTCAGGGTCAAAGAAGCACAGGCATAGTCGCCGACACCAAGAGAAAGAAAGTGAAACTGAAGGTGAAGAAGAGGATACATCAGGACAAAACTCAGGTTACAGATATTCAAGTTGGAGTGAGGGGGAGGAGCATGGTTATAGTTCTGAGGGCTCTCGGGGAACTCCAAAACACAGACATGGGTCTGGCTCCAGAAGGCTGAGAAGGCAAGGTGGTTTATCTAGCTCAGAGAACCAAAAGGGATTTGAAAAAAGGTGCCATGGGTCCAGCTCTGGTTACTCATGGAGTAATGACAAACAAAGACATGGTTCCAGCTCTGGAGAACTGGAGGGAAAAAGAAACAAATCACATGTTAGCCCCTCTAGGGCATCTGGGGATGAATACAAGTCTGGATCAAAGAGTGGTAGAGGGAGAGGTCATGGTGGTCTGTCATATGAATATGAATCAAACTCTACTCAGTCAAGTTGTGCAGGACAAAAACATGGGTCTAGCACTAAATGTTCAGGAGATGGTGGGAGGGAAAGTCATGCATGTGGTTCCAGCAATTCAGGTGGACGTGGAAGACGAAAAAACACTTCTAGTTCCTGTCAGGCAGGTAGATTTGGAGAGCAAGGAAACCAACCTAGCTGTACCCAATCAGGTTATCAATCAGGAAGTAGTGGAGAAGGTCATAGATGTATCTCAGGAGGTTGGGCCTCTGGATATTGTCAACATGAGCCTAGCTCCTGTAGCCAGTCTACTAGGCAGAAAGGATATGGATATAGAACATGTGGTCAACCACAGAATTGTGGAGGACAACAGGGAACAGGTTCATGTCAGTCCTCTTCTTGTGGACAATATGGGTCAGGAGTAAGTCAGTCTTCTACTTATGGTCAACAGGGATCTGGTTCCTGTGGATACTCCTCAAACTCTCATCAAAAGAGGTGTGGTTCAAATGAAACTTCTAGATGTAGTCAACATAGATCCAGCTCAGGTCAATCTTCTGGCTTTGGTCAACATGGGTCAGGCTCAGGTCAGTATTCTGGCTTTGGACACCATGAGTCTACATCAGGACAGTCTTGCTATGGCCAACATGGGTCAGGCTCATGTCAGCACTCTGGTGCTGGACAATATGGATCAGGCTCAGCTCAGTACTCTGGCTTTGGAAGCCAGAAGTCTAAATCAGGACAGTCTACCTGTGGCCAACATGGATCTGGTTCAGGTCAATCCTCAGGCTTTGGCCAACATGGTTCAAGCACTGGTCAGTCCTCTGGCTTTGAACACCATGACTGTAGATCACAGCAGTCTGGTTATGGCCATCATGAGTTGGGCTCAGGTCAATCATCTGGCATAGGCCAACAAGGGTCAAGTTCAAATCAGTCTTCTGGCTTTGGACATCATGAGTCTGGCTCAGATCAGTCCTCTAGCGACAGTGAAAGGCACTCAGAAGTCTCAGAGAGACACTCAGGATCCACTCATGGGCAGGCTGGATTTCAACATGGAGAGTCAGGAGCCACAGTGAGAGGGAGACATGGAACTGCTCATGGGCAGTCACGAGACACCACCAGACATGGCCACTCCAGTCAGGGACAATCTACACGGTCAGGGTCCAGTCAGGCAGGAAGACAGGGATCCAGTCACAGTGAGGCTAGCGACAGTGAAAGGCATTCAGAAGTCTCAGAGAGACACTCCGGATCCACTCATGGGCAGGCTGGATCTCAACATGGAGAGTCAGGAGCCACAGTGAGAGGGAGACATGGAACTGCTCATGGGCAGTCAGGAGACACCACCAGACATGGCCACTCCAGTCAGGGACAATCTACACGGTCAGGGTCCAGTCAGGCAGGAAGACAGGGATCCAGTCACAGTGAGGCTAGCGACAGTGAAAGGCATTCAGAAGTCTCAGAGAGACACTCCGGATCCACTCATGGGCAGGCTGGATCTCAACATGGAGAGTCAGGAGCCACAGTGAGAGGGAGACATGGAACTGCTCATGGGCAGTCAGGAGACACCACCAGACATGGTCACTCTGATCTTGGGCAATCTACTTGGTCAAACAGACAGTCAAGTCATACTCATGCTCATTCTGGTAAAAGTCATTCTACATCACAGATTATTGGCAGACAAAGACATAGATCATATCAAGGCTGGAGACATGGCAGTTATGGGAGTGCCGAATATGACTATGGGCAGTCTGGTTATGGACCTTCTGGTGGTAGCAAGACAAGCAGTCGTAATTCTAGTCCTTTTAGGTCAACAGACAGAGCTGCAACCACGCGAGCATCTAGTCATTGACTATCAGTTTCTAGTTTTTACTACATGGGATCAAAAGCAACTGAAAAAATAGGAAGACAAGATTCAAGTCATGGACAATCAGAGATAAGTGATGGGCTATCAATTGATTCCCATAACCATTCTGGATTTGGTACAACTGGAGGTCAGGGATCTAGTCATAGACATTCAGTAGCAACTCAGGAACAGTCAAGAGATATTGTTCAGTCTGCAAGATGGGGTCTACTCATAGCAGTCAGCTTAGGAACCACTCTGCCTCTGACCATGGAAAACCCTTATCAGCCCACAGCCATTCAGATTCTAGTTCAACTAGAAGTCAAACCTCCCATAGTGATAGTAAGGGGTATTCAGAAGATTTGGGGGAAAAGAGTCATGAACAATCAGAATTGAGGCATAGACAATTGGAGTTCAATACAATAGATGTACCTGAATCCAGCCATCAGCACTTGGGAGATTCATCTTCTCATGATCTGGTAAGATCCAGCACAAATTTAGCAACACAGGGATCAAGTGATGGACAATCAGGACATATTCAGGGTCAGTCTGGATTCAGCACCAATGAAAGACAAGTATACAGCCATGGCCAGTCAAGGGACAGCTATGGGCAGTCAAGTGGCAGTCACTCACTTGATAGCCAAGTCCCTTTGGGAACTGAAGAAAATAGTTTTAGATATTTATCAAGCAGTGTAATTACATGGAGTGGGGAAAGGCAAAAGCAAGAGTCTGGATCAAGTCCATCAGGGACCATGAGAAAATACAATCAGGATGTTGATGATAAGCAGACAAGAGACTCTGAGGTCAGAGGTTACCATGGAAGAAAGAGAACAGATTCAGGTTCCTTTTACTTAGATAGCAACACCCTACTCTATGAATATATCAAAGAACAAAGGTGCTATTACTTTGAATAATAATTTTAAACCAAAGGAAGACAAACTAACTCAAGATAAGAATTAATCCAATCGAGAAATGAGACATACAACATGAAATTAAGATATTTTAAATGATCCTTTCTTTTGGTAGTGGGGGCTTACATCTGATTTCCTATTATATTTCTCTTGTCTACCTTTGAACACCTAGATGACAGGAAAATACCTGGATACTATTCAAAGTCCAAAGAAGGCAAAACTCAATCACATTTATCTTTTCCTCAGTCTAATCACTATCCAAAGCGTTTATAAGAAATGTTTTATATTGAGGAGTTGATCTCAGATACTTTAGTCAACCGTGATTATCAGAACAATCATTATTAAACATAACCCCAAGTGGCTATTTCCTGAGACCAGACAACCTCTGAAAATAATATTGATGAGTCACAGACTTTCTCTGTCAGAGATATTAATTGAAATATCCCTTAGCAATGGAGGCTAGTGGGGTCCTATAGCTCCTAGTCAAATAAAAACAATTAAAAGTATACTCCCCCTTAGCAAGAAAAATATGTGAGTTTATTATAAACAGAAAGAGACATAACAAGGAGTAGAAAAATAGGTACAAAAAATAATAACTTCAGTAGAAAGTTTATTGCTATAATAAAATCAAAAGGCAAATTTCACAATGTGAAAACTAGTACAGACATTAAAGATCATCCCCCTAATTTACAGATTAAAAGGAAAAAAAAATCAAAGCAAAGCACATTTAATCTAACCAAAATAAGTTATAATTCATTAAATCAGAATTTGATGCTCCATCATCTTCTCCTCCCATCAGAAACTCAAGCTTCTTTTTTTCCACCTTCACCTTTGGATTTCAAACTGAAGTGCAATTCATCAATGGGTGTTCAAGATTGCAAGCCAATATTTGAGAAAGAAATTACATGAAAGACCAAAAGAATAGTCTCATTCCTCTGATTAGACTTAAAACATATTCTATCCAGCTTTTAACATTTTAAGAACTATCCAAATTTTAAGTCATGCTATGTAATAAATAAAACACTAGTCATGTTACTTTATTAGTGGAAGAAAATAAAATTATTGTTATACTAGTAGTGACACACATAAAAATAACTGAGTATATGTAAGAGTTGGACCATAAAGAAAGCTCAACACCAAAGAATTTGTGCTTTTGAACTGTGGTGTTGGATAAGACTCTTGAAAGCCCCTTGGACAGCAAGGAGATCCAACCAGTCCATCCTAAAGGAGCTGAGTCCTGGGTGTTCATTGGAAGGACTGATGCTGAAGCTGAAACTCCAATCCTTTGGCCACCTGATGTGAAGAACTGACTCATTGGAAAAGACCCTGATGCTGGGAGGGATTGAAAGCAGGAGGAGCGGACAACAGAGGATGAGATGGTTGGATGGTATCACTGACTCAATGAACAGGAGTTTGAGCAAGCTCCAGAAGTTGATGATGGACAGGGAAGCCTGGTGTGCTGTGGTTCATGGGGTTGCAAAGGGTCAGACATGACTAAGATACTGAACTGAACTGAACTGATATGGTAGTTAACTCTAAATGGTAACCAATTTATACAAATCTATATATCCATCATTTATAAGCTTTATATGCATATGTATGAAAATTTATATCCATCATTATATATACTTTACATATAATTCCATTATATTTCATCATTGAATAAATGCTAATTATCAAAGAATCATTAGAAATTTAAATATCATGTTTAATCTCATCCAAACAAAATCTATTGTAGGTTAAGTAAATGAGACTCAAAGAGATTAACTTGCCTCTATTGTGCAGATAATTAGAAGTGCTGCTATGATCAGGGTATAGGTTTCTGATTCTTAAACCAAAGTACTTTCCATTCTTCCAGGGGCTCTGCACTCCATTCATTCATTCATAATTTGCCCACTGTTTAACCTCTAAATATGAAATTTAAGGGTGTCTAAAACTTGACCAGTTCCTTGAATCAATGTTAATTTGCCTTTACTCTGTGAGTGTATATTTATCAGTGATACTGATAATTCCTTGACCAAACTCATCTGAAGTACAAATATAATGAAAAAAAATTATATTCTAGACTGTTAAGACCATAAGTAATTTGCTTTAGTCAAATTGAAGGCAATTATCCCTTATAAATTATACCAAAAGTATTCTAAAATAATTCAAAAAAATTACACATTCCCCTTCTAAGATGAAAGGTAAAAGTGAGACAGCAGGTATGCTCTACAAGGTAAAAGGTTAGAAACTGGAGTGCATACATATGGAACCCTTGTGAAGAGTTGAATTAGATGCAATTCTGTTGAGAAATGAGTCATATGGTGTGTACAATTAGAGATTTTCCCTCTAGTACAACCTGTGTATCAGTATTCTATGGATAAAACATTTCTGTGCCAAAGGATACTAAGTGAAGTCAAAGCATTCTTCAAAGCATGTCTGTACTATCAGGGAGGAGCATGTGGCATTGAGGAGAAACTCTGAGTGGCTAAATTAGGAGGACCAGAGAAAAAAATTCTTCTTTCCTTAAATTTCTAGATAAAGATGACATTTAGACATGGGAAACTGAATATCAGTTTAAGCTGGACATACTGCATGCACTGGTTGTTTTGTTGGAGTGTAAGTCATAGTCTGGGGTTTCCCTGGTGGCTTAGATGGTAAAGAATCTGCCTGCAACGCAGGAGGCCTGGGTTCG